CCCAGCAGCAATGCCCACACCCACTGCCTGGTTCCTTATCTCTAAATCCCACTCTCCAATGAAATAAACTAGCACTCCTTGGAGAACTGTGGCAGGAACATCACATAAGGAAGTGAAGCTGGAGTGGCTGACAGTGCAAGAAAGGGAGGAAGTGCTCAAAACAAGGAGCTGGGGGTTGATGATGTCCTGATGGCCAAGGCTGGAATGGATGAGCAGTGAAGGCTGGAACAGGGGAGTAGCCAGACAAACAGCACAGAGCTGGGTCCCCTCTAGGGTGCAGAAACACACCCACAAGTCCGTCGTCCTCACGGAATTCCAGACTACACGGTGGGTCTTCCCTGAGCTTAGCTCCCACCCCCAGCAGGGTGGGCTGCCTCTCCCTGAGTGGCTGCCAAAGAGATCAGAGAACATGACAAGGAGTAACTCTCCTTGGCAGATACCACCTGAGCCAGGTGACCAGGCCTACAGCCCCCGTGATGTCGTGCAAAGTCAGGTGCCCTGATGTGATGTGACAAGAGGGCACCTCACTTCTGGGGTCTTCTTTCCACAACCCCTGTCCAACCAGGAGAAAACACAGCAGACAAACCCCAAACAGGGACATGCTACAAACACCAGAGGAGGCCTCCTCATAGCTGTCAAGGCCACGAAAAGGTAGGATCCTGGATGGGATCCAGGGCAGAAAGAGGACCCTTGGGCAGCATGTGACCTGAAGTCTGGAGTGCCGGGAACAGTAATGGAACGCTGTTGTATTTTAATTTCCACAAATGTGCCTCGGTTTGCAACTTTTCTAAAAATCTAAAACTGCTCCCAAAATAAAAACCTTGCATAAGAAGTGCTGTGGCAACATTACTTCTGCTTGCTCAAAACTAGGTCCTGAGGCTTCTTGTTTGCTCTGGTCCGGGCGGGGACAGGTGAGGAGACAGCAGTTGGCATGTGGGAAAAACACGGGGCCCCACGTGGGAGAGACGGGTGTGTGGGGAATCTGAGCAAGAAGGTAAATGCAGGCTATACACCCCCAGCCCCACGAGAACCCCACCAGACACAGGATGTATAACAAAAATGTACAGTGTGGAGCACTGTAGAGCACATCTGGTCAGCCCCAGGACGCCCGGTCCTTTGGAGGCCAGTTTCTGCATTTCCCCACGACTTGGGGGGTTCCCCATGACCTGAACCCCACTGCCACCCCTGGGTGGGCACAGGGCACAGCTCAAGGCTGCACATCCATGGCTCAAATGCTGCCAACTTCCCAAGAGCACGTGTCAAGTCTCTACCTCCACAACATGACACCAAGCAGGGACTCGGTACAAAACCAGGGTGGGACCAACAGAGGGGCTGAGGCCAGCCACTCCCATGCCCCCCGCAGTCCCCACTGACACCTACTTGGAGAAGATGACCATCAGCTTCCTCCGGCTCTTCCGAGGCTCTGCGTCCTCCTCAAAGTCATCCATGTCCTTGCCCAGGAAGACCTCCTGGTGGAAATCTTTGTTGAGGTGCCCATCCATCTCCAGCTTCACCCCATTCAGGTGGTCCGGGGGCAGAATTTCATTTTCCTCCCTATTACCTGCTCTCTCTCGAGCAGACGAGTGGTTGGCAGGCCGGGCAGATGCATCCATCAGAAGGACAATGCCCAGGAGCCAGAGGCAGCAAGGAGCCAGGCCACAGAGGGGGACCTGCCTGGAGGCCATGGCCTCCGGGTCTGCACTGAGGGACAGGCTGCAAGTGTGGCCAGGAGCTGTGGAGAGAGAGGGGGGTGGGTAAAGAAGCGGGGAGGTGGCGACCACAGCCACCCACCACATCAGGCACTGCAGAAGGCCTTGCGGCTCATCCAGCACAGCTGCCCGCGGCCAACAGCTTGAGGCAGCCAGGTCCCGACTAGCCCTTAAATGTTTACAAGAGGATCCAGAGCCATCAGCCGATGGAGCCCCAGCAAATGCTTGGCTAAAGTGATGCTTACTTGGTAACGAAATACAAGTCCTCAGTTTCCAGGGCCCATGCTGGACGTCCTGTTTTTGTTTTCGCCAGTTCTTACTCCCTCCCCAAGGTACACCCTGCATCGCTAGCCCTCTCCCCCTTCAGGCCCACAGCCCAGTGCCCAGCACAGTTAGTCTCAACTTGCTGGCAAAGAAGCTGACCCCAGAGTCACAACTCACACTCCAGATGCCAGCTCAGCACTCAAGCCCTGGGACCAGAACTAAGGCACCAGAGCTCCTCAGCCTCAGGCTCCTGCCCAAAGGCTCTGTGACACCTGGGGCCAACAGAGCCCAAACCACCAAGTAGGGAGCCACCCCTCCCACTCGCCATCTCCGTGACTCTCGTGTACACACATGTTCACACGTAAACACAGCATGTGCATGCACATGAGGTGTGCACAAGTGCACCTGTGCACATATACACATATACGTACCTACACACATAAACCCACATGTGCTCACATGCACACATAATACATGTCCTTGCTCCAGGGTCCCTCCCACCACAGGACCACATAATACACGTCCTTGCTCCAGGGTCCCTCCCACCACAGGACTCCTCAGAACCTACGTGCCCCTTAACGTGTTCCTCTTGGAGCCTGTTCACCAGGCAAACACCTTCTGACCCTTCCAGGTGCCTCAGAGGTCCCCTCCAGCAGGCCTGAGAGGGAGCAGCAGAGGGAAGCTCCTCAAGCCAGGGTGCCCGTTGGCAGCCAAGCTGAGGCACAAAGGGTTCCTGAACCACAGTGCCCATCACCAGACCAAGGAGACCCCTGTGCTGGCCGCAGCATGACAGAGGCCAGAGCCATGGGCTCTCCCTGGCCGGCAGACACTTGCTTCTCTGACGCCTCTTTTCTGTTCTACATGCTCCTGGCTAATATCTCCCCTGGCAGGGGCACACCTCTGCACGTCACTCTGATGAGGACAGAGTAAAGAAACAAAGCAAGTAATTAAATAGTTAACCCCACTAAGGTATCATAAGTAAAGGAAAAAGTATGGGAGACCCCTGTAAGTTAATGATCACTTAAGAGAACAGGTCTGCCTAACCACAAAACCAAGCAGTCTCGCGTAGCAACAAAACCATGCAACAGAAGCACAAGACATGCCCCAAAGCAATAAAACAATGGTGGAATAAGACCTACATCCTGCCTGCCAAGTCAGGAAGTTAATGATTCCTAGGACAAGCTCCTCTGGGCTCACTAAAAACAAAAATATAAGGAAAAGGTCACATTATACTGAAACCTGAGACGATTTACCATACTTAAGTTACCACCTTTTTACTCAGTCCCACTGCACCAGGACAGCCCCAGTATGACCACATGGGGGCAGGGCAACATGACCACAAGGGACAGGGCAGCTTGACCACAAGGGGATAGGACAGTTTGATCACGGGGGGACAGGACAGCGTAACCACACAGGGACAAGACAGTTTGACCAGCCAAGAAAAAGAAGGTCCCCGCCCAACATGGAGGAGGAGCTGATGATGGAGGAGTGGCGTCTACTCAAGAACAAGGAAGAAGATGGTCTTCTCTCCCTCCCCACTGTCCTTTGGCTATAAAAACGGAGTAGCTTAATTCTCAGGGCAGAGTCCCCTTGCCTACCTGCTTGTATCTCTCATAAACGTCTTACACTATAAACTCTTTCCTCACCTGTCACCCTGGGGATCACTGAATTCTTTCTGCGCCAGACAAAAGAATCTCCACTTACTAAAGACACATCTGTCGGTTTCATGTTCTCTGGGCCCAGGTGCTACCTGGACCCCTGGACTAGATCCTGCTCTCCTGGCTCAGCTAGCTCATTCCTTAGAGGGGAAACTGTCTCACGGATGGGCAGCCTTGCGGCCCTCTTTCCATGTTTGAGAGCACCTGTACCCTCCTCACCAGAACCCACCTGCTGTGCACTCTGTGCTGCCACCGTCCCCTCAACCACGCCTGCTGGAACTCCAGTTTGTCCCCCTCTGAGAGCACTGTCCACGCAGCAGGCCTTTCCACTCCACCACCATGTGTATGTTTCCGGAGTTCCAGAGCAAAGCAAGACAACTTCCTCCTGATCTAAACACCGCCCTTGTGACTCATGGCCATAAACACACAGGTGTCCTGTCCAAACGGACTGAACTTCACTTCTGGAAAGAACGGTCAATGCCAGACTCTGCTTGTCTTGATGGTCGTACAGGGGGTGTTATTTACTTGATATTTTGCACAAAGAGTAAATGACCAGGTAGGTATCAGATTAGGTAGACTTCCTCTCCTTGGTTCACAAAACCTTGTTTCTGCACCTTGTTAAGCACAGGAGTCAGTCGCTCACTTCTCTCCCGTCCCAGCTGAAGGGATTTCAGAGCAGGGGCTGCCCTACAGACTGGGGGACCCTCCCTGGGCTCCTGAACACCCCTGGGGCCCACTCTGTGAAACAGGTAAGGCCACCGTCGTTAAAAAGCAAACGGTTTTTTAATAGATCCGTCCCCGGCTTCAGGAGTCGCACATGGCGTTGGCAACGACAGGCCCAGGCCGAGCCGGGTGTCCCGGGCCTCAGGCGGATCGGATGTTCCCCACCCCCAGCACGGCGGGGCCGCGACCCCTGACCCCGCTCCAGCGACCCCCGACCCAGGCACCCGAGGGGCCCTGTCGGCGGTAGCTGCGGGCCGTCCGAGGCCCAAGTCGGCTTGCGTGCCCCCTTCCCGCCGCCCCGGGGCCGGGCGGGAGCTGTCACGCCCCGCGGCCCTCACTCACCGGCCTCCCTCCCCTCACCCAGGATCCGCGAGCGCGGCCTGAGCGCCCGCTACGGCTCCAAAAGGCCTCCGCTTAGGCCGCAGCCATCTTTCTTCCGGGAAGAGGTGGGTCGGGTGGGGGCGGTGCGAACGGCGCGACCTCCCTACGCCGACGCCGGCGCAGCCATCTTTTCCCCGGGCGGAAGCGGCCTCACAGCTCTCCGGAGCGGCCAATGAGAACAGCGCGGGGATACACGTAGCCCGGCGGCGCGGCGCGGCCCCGGCCCTTCCCACGCGCGGCCTCGTTCCGCGGCGCTCCCCGCGCAATGAAGCTGCTGCGGCGCGCGTGGCAACACCGGACAGCACTGGGCCTGGGCGGCCTGGCACTGGGCGGTGTTGCGCTGCTCTACCTGGCGCGGTGCGCCGCGCCTCCCGACCCCGCGCTCGCCGGCCCCGCTGCACCGGTGCCCGTTGGCCCGGCGTGCGCTGCCGCCTTCCTGGCCGTGCTGGTGGCCAGCGTGCCGCGGGCGGCCGAGCGGTGCAGCGTGGTCTGCAGCACGTGGCTGGCGGCGCGGCGCGGCGGCCCCGGGGACGTGTGGGCGCGTTTTGCCATGGGCACCAGTGGGCTGGGCGACGAGGAACGGCGCGCCCTGGAGCGGGAGCAGGCTCAGCATGGCGACCTGCTGCTGCTGCCCGGGGTGCGTGACGCGTACGAGAACCTCACGGCCAAGGTGCTGGCCATGCTGGCCTGGCTAGACGAGCACGTGGCCTTCGAATTCGTGCTCAAGGCGGACGACGACTCGTTCGCGCGCCTGGACGCAGTACTGGCCGAACTGCGCGCCCGCGACCCTGCCCGCCGCCGCCGCCTCTACTGGGGCTTCTTCTCGGGCCGTGGCCGTGTCCGGCCTGGGGGCCGCTGGCGTGAGGCCGCCTGGCAGCTGTGTGACTACTACCTACCCTACGCGCTTGGCGGTGGCTACGTGCTTTCTGCCGACCTGGTGCGCTACTTGCGCCTCAGCCGCGAGTACCTGCGTGCCTGGCACAGCGAGGACGTGTCGTTGGGCGCCTGGCTGGCGCCAGTGGACGTGCAGCGAGAGCACGACCCGCGGTTTGACACCGAGTACAAGTCCCGCGGCTGCAATAACCAGTACCTGGTGACGCACAAGCAGAGCCTGGAGGACATGCTGGAGAAACACCGGACACTGACGCACGAGGGCCGCCTGTGCAAGCGCGAGGTGCAGCTGCGCCTGTCCTACGTCTATGACTGGTCGGCACCGCCCTCGCAGTGCTGTCAGAGGAAAGAGGGCATCCCCTGACGGCCGAGCTGGCCCACGCGCCCACAGGACGCCAGGGTCTCGACCCCGCCAGAAGCGGTGCTGAAAGGCCTCCCATCGGCCTTCCGCTGGCAAAGCTGACAGCTTCTGCATGGTCCTTAGCATGAGGCTGGCTCTCGAGAGGACCCGGTTTACCTGGTGACAACAGGCTCCCAGAAGATGCCTAGCAGCGGTGGATGACTCTAAGCCCAGGAACCAGTCCATGCCCACCCGAGGGCATCTTCTGTGTCTGGAACCAGCATCGTGTCTAGGCAGCCCCATGGGGCATGGGGCCTGTTCAGTTACCTTCCTCTCCCAGGCTGATGCCAAGGAGCCAGAGGGTGTAGCTGGCGGGACTTGCAGGACCTGACTCCAAAGAAAAATTCCCAACCCCATCGGGGCAGGGGACAGTGTCATGTCCTGCAGCCACTGTACTGACCGTCCACCTGCACCAAGGGCCATGACCGCATAAACTGGGCCCTGGCACTTGGACACTCGAGGTGTGATGCAACCCAACAGTTTTTATTGAAGTTACTTCACCTTGTGCAGTTAGGTCATCGCTTGCGTCTCCTGCTGGTATCGTTTGTCACGTGTCATCTAGTATTTAAGTCAGTTGCGTGTGAATCAGCTTTCATGGTATTTTGGTCTGTGTCTGGAGTGAATTCGTGGTACATGTAATTCAGAGCTTGCCTGTGATTTATTTATAAATTTTGTAACTTTTGAATAGTTTTAAGTTGGGAGTGTATGGGTGTCTGTATGTTTTAAGTTATTTAAGAGAAGACTTTTCTATCAAAACTTGGAATTTATGGATTAATCTATTTTTCCAGCTTGCGTTGTAGACCCATTGCTGCTTGAGTGTTGAAACATGGAAGAATTCAAAAGTATCTGTCGCTCTTCCATTTTCATGGTAGGTGACCCCACTTCCTCTCTCTAAAAACACTTCCCTTTCAGCCTTCCTCATGGCCACACAGGGCAGGTGTTTCTGGAAGCACTGACAAGCTTTCCCAAAGTCTGTCTTGACACAGCCCTGCTGGGCTACATCCCCTTGGGGGCAGCGGGTGTTCACAGCACCTTTGCACATACCCGAAGGTTGTTTTCCAGTTGATCAGTTGTATCTAACTTTGTGACCCCATGGACTGCTGCACGCCAGGCTTCCATGTCCATCACCAACTCCCAAAGCTTGCTCAAACTCATGTCCATCAAGTCAGCGATACCATCCAACCATCTCATCCTCTGTCATCCCCCTCTCCCGCCTTCAGTCTTTCCCAGCATCAGGGTCTTTTCTAATGAGTCAGCTCTGTTCCTTGTTAAACGTGGAGAATGAGCTCTATAGTCATGACTGAAGTCAGATAAAGTGGCAATGGAGGCCTCTCCTCAGCTGGGTGGATTCTGCATTTTCTGTCTGTTAACCAGGCCCTGCTGCCCCCTGCCTGCAGCCTGCTCTGGGGCACTGGGAACCAGACGGAGGGCACACACCTCTGACCCGCCCCTTGGCTGCCATTCTCAGGCTGTGGATTTTAAGAATGGGTGTTTTGGCCCAGGCAGCTCACACAGTGGGTGGCTGTCTCATGGCTCTGAAGCCTGGGGTTCTGCAATCGGGTGCCGGCGTGGTCAGGTTCTGGTGATGCTTTCTTGCTGCTGTGCAGATGGCCACTTTCCCACCACACCGTGGTTACAAGGTGTAACTGATCCGGCTCTGGTTACAAGGTGTGGGCTTTGCTCCAGAACTGACCATGTGGCTAGACAAGGATTCAGGGAAGGATCCAGGTTTTGGGGACACCAGGGTGAGCAGGATGGGGCCCTGCCCCCTGCTAGGGGGGCGCTGGGGGATGCTGACCACAGCAGGATGCTGTTCCTACTGACCGTATGGGATGATGGTCCTGGGATGTCTTGTCTCCAACTCAGGATCATTGGAGGAGTTGGGAGACACACATGTCTGTTTCTCAGGACAGGACTCATGGAAGCCCACATGGCCAGCTCAGAGCCTCTGGACTCTCAGATCCCTGCCCAGCACCAATGTCTAAGTGCATGCATGCTCAGTTGTATCCAACTCTTTGCGACCCCATGGACTAGCCCACCAAGCTTCTTTGTCCATCAGATTCTCCAGGCAAGAATACTGGCGTGAGTAGCCATTTCCTCCTCCAGAGGATCTTCCCGACCCAGGGATCAAACATGTGTCTCCCAAATCTCCTGCATTGCAGGCAGAGTCTTTGCCGCTTGAACAAGACTGCTTAGTAAAAAGTCTACAATTCCCGGCATCTGTGTTGGGGGCAGGGCACTTGTGAGCTTTAGTATTTAGTTGAACCCCCTGAAAGTGCCAGTGTGTAGCCAGTTTTGACCTTCAAAAGTACAAATTTTGTATTCATCCTAGAACATTAAATTTCAGAACACACTCTGGGCTGATGGTTATTCTCCACACTGTGGCTGATGAGATGTCAGCATGCTGGAGCTGAAGGCCAGGACCCCTTCCTGGAGCCCACGGACAGGCTACATGTGAACATCACAGAGCCCAGCCTGTCACAGACCTGGAGGAGTCTCCTGTCCTCTGCCTCTGCTCCTGTCCGCTGTCTGAGCTGCAGATTCTCCCGGCTAAACGAGCCAAGCCCTCACCCTCTGTACCCCCTGGCTCTGTCCATTGCCTGTGGTCTGACCGCAGTGCCCCTCCCAGGCAGCCCTCCTGGTCTGCACCTCCCACCTGCTGAGGCACTTGCCATGAAGTCCATGCTCTCTAGGCGTGTGTGCCCTGTGGACCTGGGGCCAGACCAGGTTCAGAAGGCAGCAGACCTTCGGGAGTGGGAAGTCAGACCACCGAACTGGTTTCTACAGGGGAATTTAGGATACAAGACACCTCAACTGCACAGCACACAGAGCCAAAACTCAAAGCTTAACTTAAAAATATATACAATATCACTAATTAATAAAATAGAGAAACATGGGACCTGAGAGTCTGGAGGAGGCCATGTGCCCCAGGATGGTCCAGATCCAGGGAGTAGTCCTGGGGCACCCAACTGCTGGGTCACCACAGAGCCTCGACTGGAACCCCCCATCCACCTCACCCCTCTAGACACCCCCAAAGCCTGACTTCACCTGATGTGACTCAGCAAGACCAGGGATGTAGTGGGCCAGGAGTTCGCCCAGGACACAGCTGCCAGGAGAGACCCTAGGACAGAAAAGGGGTGAGGCTCCCCTCAAGTGAGGCTGGAGGTATGCCCACCCTCCGTATTTGCCTTCCCAGCTTCCAGGCCCTGCAGTGCAGGCCTGTGTGCAGCTTGGAGCTGGAGGAGCCAGCCACCCAGCGGCCCTCTTGTCCCTGTGCACTGGCCAGCCCCCTCATCCCAGTGTTGCTGAATATACCAGGAGTAGACAGTAAGCTCTGGCCTTGGGAACGTCCCCCAGCCTCATGTGCACATGATGAAAATAGATTCAAAGATCCCTGGTGTTTCAAGAGCTGCAACCCTGGAAGTCTGTACCCCCTTGCTGGAAGCCTGGAAGGGAGATGTGGGGAGGGGGCGATGCAGCCGACCCCAAGATGCTGACATCGTCATGTGGGGTGGGGGTCCTTCCCCGACTTCACCACCTCCAACCAGCCACTGAGCTGTGGGGCTGCTGGGGACCTGTCCGGAATGTGGGACCAGCCAAGCCAGCACTTGGGAGTAGTAGGAGCCAGCGCTGGGACTTCCCTGGTGGTCCAGTGTTTAAGACCACTTCCACTGCAGGGGGCACGGTTTCCATCACTAGTAGGGAAACTTAAGATCCTGCATGCTGTGCTGTGCACCCAGCACATGGAAAAAAATTTTGTAATAGAAGCCAGCAGGGCAGCTGGGGACCCACAGCCACTGCCCCGCAGCCTGAGCTGGCACATTGTGGGCTGTGTTTAGCCCTGCTGCCTGTCCCTCGGCAATCCCACACTCAGGCCCCTTTCCTGGGCTCCTGGCTGCAGCCTCCTCCGCCCTCCACACCAGACTCACTCCTGCCCCAAGCCCCCACCAGCCCTGGTTTACTTGAACGTCACTTCCTCATCCTCGTTTGGGGTTGGTGTGGGGGTTGCTGTCCAGGTCACCCACAACTGCTCTCACTGGTCTCAAGCCTTCCTCGGTCATCCTGGGAGTGAGCTGTCCTAGAAGTGAGCCATCCTGGGAACCTGGAGCTCTTCACCTGCTGCCTGCTGGGCCCTACTGTTCAAAAGACACCGGCAGAGCTGGTGCTGCCGGGCACGCTGGGTCCTTGGGAGGGGCCTGGGTGGCTGCCCTGGCCTCCCCAGTGGTCTTCCTAGGATGTGTCCCGCCCCCTCAGACCTTCTCCACCCGTCTGCTTCAGTGTGTGGTGGGCAGCAGGGGTTGGGGGGGTGCGATCCCACACTTGGCTGCGCTGCATCCACAGAAGATGGGTTCAAGTCCCAGCCCAAGGACCTGGGAGTGGCCTGAGTGGGAAGTAGGGTCTTTGCAGGTGTAACCAAGGTGAGGACGGCAGGGGGCCTACTGCAGAATGACTGTCCTCATAGGAAGAGGAAGCAGAGGCTAGGGAGGAGAAGGCAGAGTCCAAGAAGGCTGCCAGGAGCTCCACCCCCAGTCTGCTGAGCCGTGGATTTCATCAGCGCACTCCAGAGCAGACACCTCAGACCGCTCAGCTGCTGGCCGGGCCCAATCTCACCACCTCTCAGGGCTCAGCACAGACCCAGCTGTCTGGGGGCAGGCTTCCAATGTCCAGGCTTCAGGGTGGGAGCGCGTGGCCTATGGCGACCACACTGGGGTCCCCACGGACTATGCCTCCTCTGCCTGGTCCCACATTCCCTGCATCCCTTGGTCCCCCACCCAGTATCTGCAGGTCTCACAGGGGCAGTCAACCCTCGTCTCAGGCCCCCTGCCCCCAGCACACATTCACGTCATGAGACCACTGACTCTTGCCCATCCAGGGCCCAGGGAGCCCACCGCAGCTGCTGCAGACAGACCTAAAGCATGGCAGGTGCCCAGTCCCCCACGGGGCCTCCAGCATCAGAGAACCCAGAGTCAAGATCGCGTTCAGTTGCTGCTTGATGCTTGCACTCTTGTCCAGGGTCATGGCGAGGGGTGTGGGCTGGTTTCCCTCCCTAGAAACACACTCTGGGCTGAGCTGACATCTCTCTCCCACTCTGAGTCTAGGAAGCAGGTGAAAAGCCACCATCCACCCAGCCTCCTAGGCCTGGGTCTCCCCTGGGGGTTGCTGTCCCCATAGCCCTGGGACCTGGAAGACTGCTCACCTATCACCTGGCCTCTGTGGGCACCCACCAAGGCCAGCCCGGGCCCCCCAGACCACACCCTCTGTTCTGCTCCCACAGAAAGTGTGCATCAACCTCCCTCCACGCACCCCCCAGCTCTCCCTGTCCCCTCCCCCCACTGGCCCCCAGCACCCTCCTCCATCTGTGGATGGCAGTACTGGCTCCCAGCCCTCCACTCCCCACCCGCCCAGACCTTCCCACCCTTACACAGCCTTACCCCCAGCAGAGGAGGCACTATTCACCACCGCCACACTGCAGCGAGGAGACCCCTCCTCAGCCCTGACACTGGCCACCCCCCCAGGGTCCCCGGGTTCCCTCCTCTGCCGGGGTTCCCTGGAACCTTCCCCACCCTTCCTGATGACCCTGAGCCTCCCCAGTCATGGAGCCCACCAGAAGGGTGACGGGAAGAGAACAGGAGGCAAGGGGGAGACTGCCAGCCTCAGGCCCCTGCTCGGGCCACGGTGACCAGTGAGACCCTCCTCGTGGCCTTGTGGCCATCCTGTGAATCGTGGCTGCGGCACCAGCTCTGCCCAGGGCCCAG